CCTCTGCTGGGAGGACAGGCTGGGGGAGTTGGGGGGTTCAGCCTGGAGAAGAGAAGGCTCCAGGGAGACATTATTGTGGCCTTCCAGTGCCTAAAGGGGCTCCAGGAGAGCTGGGGAGGGACTCTCGACCAGGGAGGGGAGCAATGGGACGAGGTATAGCGGCCTTGAACTAAAAGGGGGGAGATTGAGATGAGGTCTGAGGCAGAAGTTCTTGACTGTGGGGGTGGTGATCCCCTGGGGCAGGTTGCCCCGAGAAGCTGTGGCTGCCCCATCCCTGGAGGGGTTCAAGGCCAGGTTGGACGGGGCTTGGAGCAACCTGGGCTGGGGGGAGGTGGCCCTGCCCAGGGCAGGGGGTGGCAATGGATGGTCTTTAATGGTGCCTTCTACCCAAACCGTTCTGTGATTCGATGATTCTATGAAATAACTGAAAGCAACGTGCCGGGGAACAGACAGCCCAGAACAGTCCAACAGGGCCACAGCGCTGCAAGGGCAACACGCCTGCACCTGAGCCATCGAAATATTTCACTCCGTACCAGCTCACCTCCTGGCACAGAGCACAAACAGCATCTTTGAATCACAGAATGGGTTGGGTTGGAAGGGACCTTAAAGCTCCTCCAGTTCCACCCCCTGCCCTGGGCAGGGACACCTCCCACCAGCCCAGGTTGCTCCAAGCCCTGTCCAGCCTGGATTGGGTGTCTTCCCAGCCCTAAACACGCCATCATCGAGCAGTGCACAAGCATCAGCACCCTCCGGTCCCTGCAGCAAGCCACAGCCACAGCACTTCCCCCGGCACAGCCGCAACAGCCCCTGGGCTCGCAGCGGGGTGTTCTTGTGTCCCCACCATCCATCCATCGCTGCAGCCCGGTCCGTGCCCCCGCCGGCAGGATGAGCGGGCTCAGCCTCATCACCCAAGCAAGCAGCTACATATTTTGTCACGCCTGCTATGTTATCATAGAATCATAGAATGGTTTAGGTTGGAAGGGACCTTGAAGATCATCGAGTTCCAACCCCCCTGCCCTGGGCAGGTACACCTCCCACCAGCCCAGGTTGCCCAAGGCCACCTCCAGCCTGGCCTTGAACACCTCCAGGGATGGGGCCTCAACAACCTCTCTGGGCAACCTGTGCCAGTGCCTCACCACCCTCACAGGGAAAAACTTCTGCCTCATGTTTAATCTAAACCTGCCCTCTTCCAGTTTAGAGCCATTCCCCCTCGTCCTGTCACTCCATGCCCCAGTAAAAAGTCCCTCCCCAGCTCTCCTGGAGCCCCTTTAGGCACTGGAAGGCGGCAATAAGATCTCCCCGGAGCCTTCTCTTCTCCAGGCTGAACAGCCCCAACTCTCTCAGCCTCTCCTCATGGGAGAGGTGCTCCAGCCCTCGCATCATCCTCGTGGCTCTCCTCTGGACATGCTCCAGCAGGTCCATGTCCTTCTCATGTTGGGGACTCCAGAGCTGGAGGCAGTACTCCAGGTGGGGTCTCACGAGAGTGGAGTAGAGGGGCAGAACCCCCTCCCTCGCCCTGCTGGCCACACTTCTGCTGATGCAGCCCAGGATCCGGTTGGCGATCTATCTTTAAAGACTGTTTTACACAACTCGTCCTGCAAAGCAGGGTCGCACGAAGTCACGGCGCTGACCCGGCAACGGGAAGGGGCTCTCACACACGTGGCAACAACGGGAATCGCAGTGGTGCCACTTAAAAGCTTTGCTGAGCTCTCCAGGACTTCCACCCGCTGTGTTTGAACAAGAAACATCGTGTTTGAGCAGGAAACATAAGGGGTATTCGCACACGCAAACCCCAACAGGCGCCTTCTCCCCTCGGCCGGGCAGTCCCCGCTCGCAGCCGCCTCCCGGCGCCACGTTACCGCCCGCGCAGCGCAGCCGCATTGCACAAGATTTCCAACCAAGAACAAACAAGAACCGCCCACCGTCGCACCCGTCCCTTATCTCGGGGTCGCCTCCCCGAATTGCGGGGCCGCACAGCAGCTGGCGGGTTGCAGAAGCCGTTGCTTTCATACAAAGGTCTCAAAAAGTTTTTACAGGTTGTTTTGGGAGAAGCTCCATTCCAGCAGCCAGCCTCAGCGTAACAAAACCACAAGGAGACGAGTGAAGAAAACAACCCAGAACATTAACCAGAAGGGCAAAACCAACTGTCCGTCTTCCCAAAATCTTGGAAGAAGGACCCCAGGTCTGCTCCCCTGAAGCTTATCAACGATTTCGCTCTGCATAAGCATTACGCTGCCCCTGTGTTTCTGAATTTTCAAAATGCCAGGCACCGAGAGCGTGGAACGAAGGTGCCTTAGAGCAGAGTCCCTAAACATGTCTTTTGCGGATTCCCTGGGGCTCTGGAGCCCAAGGTGTGTTCTGGGCGGATTTCAGAGCTGCAGTCTCCCATCTCGGAAAGCAGACACCCGGTGCCACCTCGGAGCACGCAGCCCCCGCCACAAACACCACAGAAACCATCTCCAACATATTTCACGCGAGGGGAGGGAAAGAAAAAAGCCAGACTGGTTTTCTTTTTCCTGATTTATTGTGGCTACCAGCAGCGACACTCATTTGTCAGAAGCGATTTGCTAATTCCAATGCTGTCTGGACGTGGTGCAGCAAACTCCCTCCTCGCGCAGCAGGTCACTCAACTCAGTTTGAACCCCGTTCGGAAAACAGTTGTTACTCCCTACATGGACACATCAACTCCCTCCAGGACTTTGCGTTCTCCTTATCCCCAAACTTCATCCTCTGTACACAGCTTTGGAATCGTTCTTCTTCTCCGGGGACAGAAATCTCGCTTATTGAAGAGTTACAGTAGAAATCAGAGAGGTTATGAGGACCCTGGGGAGACTAAGAGCCACATTAACTTTTATTCTCCTGGCAGTGGAATATGTCTTAGAGCACGGTCATTAGTTGAAAATTACCAGCTGAGTAGCTAAAAAGGTATTTACAAAGGCCACGAAAAATCCTTTCCGAGAAGGAACTGTATGTATGTTTTTATTAGTGCATTGAAATGGCATTGCCAGGCCCAGGACATACGGACACCCACTCAGCAGTCCCTTCTCCTGTCACTGGGGGTAAAGCTCCACTATCATCGCGTGCCCCTGGAAGGAGAGAGAAAGAGGATGGTCACAGAGAAGGCAAATTATCACAAATACGCACTCAACAGGAGACGCCCATCTCCCGACCGTCTTAAAAGAAAAGGGGAGATGAAAGCCCAGAGCCGATTCACTCAGAGGACTCTGCGGAGAGTGGTTCGATGGCTTCGGGACAGCACAGACGTGCTTCAGGCTGGCCAAGGCACCACAGCCCGCCCTGACCGACGCCTCGGGCTCTCCTGAGGGCCAAACTGGGAATTCAGGGTGGAGGCAACGTCGGGACCAGCACCCTCAGTTCCAGAAGGCCAGCCGTGCCGCGTCCCCACAGAACTGCCACCGCTCACTGCAAACGGAACGCGGGCTCCCGTCCGCAGCCTCACGGGGTGGAGGAAGAGCCTCACCCCATTTTTTCTTGTAAAGATCTTTCTTCCTAAGAGTGGAAGAATGACGCTCGCAAGCCACAGTTTGGGAAGGCTTTGAGAGCCACCGACCGAAACCCTCGGAACACAGCAGAAACCTCTCCTCCTCTTTTGTATCACGTGGGCAGCGACGGGCAGCAGTCGCCATTGCCCAGGGACGATTGTGAGAAGGGCGGGAGAGCCTCTGAAGCGGACGAGGCGGAGGGAGTTTGCGGAACTGAGCCGCGATAAGGGGGCAGCCAGCCGAGCCGGAGGGCGTTACGAACACCCCGTGCCACGGGCCATCAGATGCGCCCCCACACCTGGCGTAACTGGACAGGATTTCATGGTAGCAACGGGAACAGAAAGGCAATTACTGCCCCTCTTCAGAGGGGACAGTGCCACCACGCAGCATCGTTACCTGCCCTCCTGCAGCACAGGCAGCAACCAGCCCGTATTGGCCTCCCTCCTTCTTCAATCTATGGGCAGCGGTAATTACTAGACGGCAGCCAGTGGCACCGAAAGGATGTCCCAGCGAGAGGGAGCCGCCCCAGGTATTGAACTTCTCCAGCGGAGGGGCTCCGACCTGCAAGAACACACCGCGGGACACACACCGTCACCACCTGCCTGGAAGGAGACTGCCCTCACCACGCCACCAAACCGACACGGCCGGCCCGCAGCGCTGTAAAGCGTTCCCGGGCACTGAGGGCAGCACAAAACCGCGCCAAAGGCTTTACTGCCTCCCCTGCAGTCAGACAGGCACACCCCTGCTGTCAGAAAGCATGCAGGGCTCAGCCCTTCCCACTGTTTTTAATTCCAACAATTACTATTATGGCTCTGGATCTCCACCTCCTATTGACAAAGGGAATGTCGTCGTTCCCGAAGAAACTGCTCAACGTTGGGATTTGTTAACCCGGAGCTGAAGAAGCACCGCTCCTCCGCACAGCGCATCACAAAAGCCCCGCTCTGCAGCACAAGCACGCCCCGCTGCAACGAGGAATTCCATCAATCCCAAAGTTAATCTAACGACAAAACCATCCTGGCTGTGTCTTACCTTTGACTTTCTGCCCATGTAGTTTTGCGCAAACCAGTCCGAATCCATAGCTTTCAGGTTAGCCAGGATCTGCCCCTGAAAAGGAATCACAGCATCCCAGACTGGTGAGGGCTGGAAGGGCCCTCTGGAGCTCCCCCATCCCACCCCCCGCCAGAGCAGGGGCACCTCCAGCAGTGGCACAGGACGGCGTCCAGGCGGGTTTGGGATGGATCCAGAGGGGGAGACTCCCCCACCTCTCTGGGCAGCCTCTGCCACTGCTCT